TTGTGTTCCAACAGGGGTTCTCAACAACTACGGAGCTTCCCATAACTTCTTAAACGGTACGATATTGAATGTAGTTTTCGCTCAACAATGTGAAATCAGAGGCAGTAAATGTGCTTAGAAATATTCTTAAAATATTTGTTAAGTTTCCGGAGAATTTAATAATTTTAATTTTTTAATGGAAGCAAGTATTTTATCTCCTAGCAATAGATAGATCAATAAATGAACGAATGCAATGATGGTAACACATGCTAATGCTATTGGATATATTTTGAGAAGAATAATTATAACTTTTCCGCCATGTGATATTTAAAATTAAATATATAAGATTTCAACTGTAATAATACACCCTTTCAACGGTCTCATTATTGGGAGGTGCCTTGAAGTGGTGGCATTTTAACGGAGAGAGGGGGAGCTGCGAAGGTCATACGCCAAAGGGACAGTTGGACGGCAAGCTTAGAACAAATTGCGAGCGTTTACTTTAAAATACTCAGTCCATAAAGTATAGTTTTTGACAAAAACAGTTCAAACCTATAGCATATTACATCATTGCAATTCCTCTTTTTAAGATTATTGCTAAGTGAAGAAAAATACATGGTCCATTTAAAAATCAAAGAGGTTAATTTGTCAAAAACTAAAATATTTCAACAATATCTTAGCATCCAATTATTGCCGCCGATATCGCATAGTTGAGCGAAAATTGATAGCCGATATCTGGAACGGCTTTAGAAGTTATGAGGTTGCCCATGGTTGGTATAAATCCTGTATGCAAGATTATTATTTCAGAAATTCGTGTTTTAATTCGTTCGATAGAAGACATGGCCGTGTCTCACAATATTTGTAAATATCAAATATGTTGGAGACATTTCAAACGTTCCGAAATTTTGGCCAATAATATTTAATGATAACTAATTAAGTTAGAAAAGTGTTTGTTTGGCTCATTGGTAGAGTCGCGGTTCTTACTGAGCTCTATGCAGGCAGGTCGAAGATACATTGCGTCGATCCGTTTATTTTTTTTTTTTTTCTTAATCCGTAATTCTTTTTGTCAAATGAACTGGTATTAAGTGCTCGTCTCTAATTCTGTAAATAAAATTTATTTTGAATTTTAAACAAATAACTCTGAAAAAGTCTTTATCTTTCTATGAATATTTGTTTTTTTTTTAATTCTCCAATTATATATTTGTTAAAATGATATTCATTTTTCACTAATTATTTAATTTATAAATATTTTATTCTACAAAATGTAACGAATACATTAATAAGGAATCCAAACCCCCAGATTCTACGACCATTCTCCTCCTTCGTGGGAGAGAATCCACAAGTCTCGCGCATATTTTCACTGTGAGCGATCTCTCCCAGGCTTCATGGATTATTTGCCGAGCGCATCGCATTGTGAGGTCGGATCAGGCCAGTTTTCAGCCATGGTGCGTCTTGTTTTGCCCAAACATTTTCTATAGGTTCAGATCTGGTGCACATGGTGGCACTCAACAACCTGAATATCTTGTTTCTCCGGAAAAACTATTGAACATGCGAACTTATGAATCGGTGATTGGTTTTGTTAGAATTGAATTATCCCACAGGATGCAACTGCCTTACTGATGGAATCATGATACTCTCTCAGTATGAGGATGTACTGAGATTTAAGTGTCTTGGATTCTATATGGATATTCCATCCCACGAGTGAAATCCAGCCATACTGCCACATGAGAAACGACCTGATGGGGGCTTGTTTTACGTATCGAGAATCATAGCGGCTTCTTGGGGTTAAAAAACGCGAACGGTCCATCATTTGCGGGAGAATTATACTCTCATCAGAGAAAATGACATCAGCCAGTCCTCGATGTAAATTTTCCTCCGCAAATGCACGATAGCGCTGGTGTTCTTCTGTCAGATTCGTTTTCGAGCTGCATTTCTGGATCGCAGACAGCCTCCAAAAGTCTGTTGCGTATTGTTCTGGAACATCCAGGAAATCTGGTGTTCTTTGCAGTTGTGAAGAAGTTTGAAAAGGTTTTCCACCCCTGCTTGTATAAAACTTCATCTTGGCAGCATCTGAAATACGCTAAAGGCCCGTTCCTGGTTTCTCCGGATTCTACGTCTCTCGATACGTTTAAGCCAGTATTGCGCTGTTCTTGCCCAACGTCATACCGTCTCGCCGCCTGAAACAGAGAGGTGACCCTCTCTACTAAATGTGATACTCGCTCTTTTGTGGTTGCTTATGGTGAGCCATGTCGAATAAAGAATGCGGAGTAGTTCAATTTGCTAGCTGCAACTTTTTCTGTGCTTACGAAGTGGACAACGCTGGCAGAACTTATCTCCTTTTTGACACTGCAGTCGAAAAACACGGAAGTACTGGAAAGGTCAGATCTAAGTCGGTAGTATCGTGAGGCTTACAGAGAGAAATCGATAATCCTCTCTCACAAAAGAAATGAGTTTATTCCACGTCCTTATGACGAGAATATTGTGGCAACCAAAATGATATTAGCTAATATGGCTAATTGGCAGTCTGATGTTTAACTAGAAGCAGTCCATATTTTGCATTAATTTTTGGTAGAAATTGTTTTTGAAATAAAAAAAATTGGTATTTTCTGCAACATTTGTTATTTACAGAGCTGTATTAATATTTTTGTGCATAAAAAACGTTCAATACATATAATGGATTTCTATTACATCTGAAATAGATGTTTGTATTATATTTGTAATGACTTCAATAGCATGACAAAGTCTAGAATATTTTCCTTTCAAATTCGTTTCCGACAATAGGTATTTTGAATTTTTTTCTTCCAGCTACGAAATCTCAATATCAGATAACTAAGGGCTTCCTACATGAAGGCAAGGGATCTCAGAAATATTATCATCAGATCAATGAGCACATTTATCATCAAAACATTTATTTACTTCAGTGTAGACTTTGCAATTGAAAGCTTGTACGTCTAAGAATTATTGTAATTACAGAACATCAAAGTTCATCATCTTTATTCACATTATATATCAATAGCATAAGAGAGTCTATGCACTGAATTTTTTAAATTTATTTATATATAGTAGTATAGTAGAATAAAAGTCATAAAGCAAACAAGTCAAGTCAAATTTTTCTTGTCAGTATATCACTATAAGTTTGTGGTATTGTTAAACGAATTGTCTTTCCGAGCTCTTAGGAGTTCATTTCGTGGTTTTATTCGAGTAAAAATGAAATAATACGAATATGTTAAGTTCGTTTTATCCGCAATTTAAGATTATTATCTATAGATTATACAATCTATTTTATTTTGGTCTCCTACGAAGTATTATCAGCTTTTTGAGAATTGCTTCTTGCTTTCTTATTCGCATATTGGGAATTTGCTTAAATACTGCATACATTGTAACGACAATATATAGTATGTCTAATTTAAGTGACTTTATGCACTGTAAATGAATAAAATATTACGTAGTGGGAACGCGATACCCGTACTTACGAGCTCTAAAACACCACTTCGCGCACTGAGCCATCTTTCGCCATTTGCAATACACCTCTTCGTTTAACACACCTTTATAACACACTCTTTATAACAAGATATTTATATTAAAAGAACTTTAAAAGCAAATCACGTTTACCAAGTTAATGTAGTTCTGTTTTACTGCAGGAATCACGAAAGTCTTTTTCTCTGTAACTATTTACTATTTAGGCTTCAGGCCATTAACAGTATTTATTCAACTCTTCCAATAAAATAAAATTATAATTATAGTTGATCTACGTGCAGAAGTTTCGAAATAAACGTTAGTCAGGCCTGTCGCAACAGGGATGTCAGCGCCACATCAACCTTCGGGCTAAGGCATTTTCGACGGAAATTTTATGTTTCCAAGAGTGTACATTCAATGGAGTCGTGTAATAATTCAGGATGCAGTTTAGGCAATTTTGGAATTCAGTAACTAACATAGTTTACGATGCCATATTAAGATCAAGTCAAATCAACTAATGAAATGATTATGTGAATTGACAGAACTGTACGTAATGTTTTAAAAAATACTATTTTAGTCTCAATGTAAAGCATAGCTGAGAAATCAGACAAAAGCCACGGCCGAGATAGAGATCGTGCACCGAAAAGTTATATACCGAGTGCATCCATGGTTTTCCGTGCGTTCCGTATTACAAACATCAATTTTATGGATAAGTCGTGGGTGATTTATCCTATGGTTTGTAGCGTCGTTGATTTTTCATGCCTTATGCACGTTTTCCACCCGAACGTCATTCACAATCGAATTCGCCTACCGTCATTCATTAATGGAGTGGAAATCAAAGTCAAATCTCTCATTAACCCCATACGGAAAGGAAAGAACATAAAAGGTATGCAATGTGCATGAATGTGTGTGAGGATGTGTGCGTAAGAGTGCACGTGCGTGTGCTTATGTGTGCATGTACATCGGTTGAGGTGGGTCAGGGCATCAATTGATGTTACCGCAGTGTCTCTGACCGAGAGGTCGTAGGGTTCACGTCCCCGACGTCGCAGGGGTTTCGACACTGCCAGGAAAACTAAGTGTAATTCAGCAGCCGTCTGGAGGGGAATTTAACGATCAATGCAGCCGGACGCTGGATGTTCCGTGGTTTTTGCGATCAATAACAGGCGAATGCCGAAGTAGTACCGACACAAACGGACAACGATCAACGCGCAATTTTTCCTTCCTCTTCCTTACTCTATCCTCACCTTTTACATACACGCACACATTTACATTTACACATTTACTTTCACACATGTCCGGAGACCAGATGGGAGCTTCTAGTGTGCTCTGGTTGCGGCAATGCGCCGGTGGAAGAATATAATGCGATGGGGGAAAATCCCACTTAGGTCGGCACCAGATCTCGCCATCCAACAAGGGAAGAAAACCGCCTCACATGTTAAACATGTGCTACCACTTATTGTATTAGTGCTAGTTGTCCGCCCACGAACAAATAACCAATGAGATGCGTGCGGACGGGAATGCGCACCGGCGGGGAGGCGTCCGTTAGGCGCGGGCCCGCGCGCGGACAGCCTGCGCGCGAACGGCACGGGCACGGGCCGCTCCACGGGCGGCGGGCGGCGCGCGGCAAACTGCGGCACGCGCTCCACGCGCTCGCGCTCGGGCTCCGGCGGCCGACGCTTGGGGCCGCACGGGAACGGCAGCACGCGAAGGCACGGGCTCAGGCGCAGGCGGCACGCCTCCGGCAGCAGGCAGAAGCACGTCGACGCGCCCAGCACCACCGCCGCCGCCGCCGCCAGCGACCACGCCGTCAGCACCACCATCGCCCTGACGGCACGTTCACGAAGCAGGGCCGACGTGGCGTCCGCCAAGGAAACGTTAGGGCGAAGGGACTTCAGTTAAAAAGAACGTCAGGACAAAGATGCCTCAGAGCTAAGTGACATCAGATCAAAAGCAACGTCACAGCTAAGAAACGTCAGAGCAAAGAAACGTCAGAGCAAAGAAACGTCAGAGCAAAGAAACGTCAGTGCAAAGAAACGTCACTGCAAAGAAACGTCAGTGCAAAGAAACGTCAGTGCAAAGAAACGTCAGTCTACAGGAAGGTCGGCCGAAAGAGCAGATCAGATGGTCAGGCCAAATGAACGTTTGGTCAGAGTAACGTCTGCCTATGTCAGGCCTAGGAATTGGGAGGTTCCAAACATCATGGTCATTATGGGAGACTGTTATGAAGAATGTCACTTTTGGAGGTCAGAGAATTTCTGAGAAAATGAGCGTTTAAGCCTGCACATTATATGCGTTTCAGACATCACTAAGAGGAGCTACATTGTTCTGCAGGCATGATCTAAAGCGAAAAGAGCGTCAGGCATCGCAGAAATGAAGATGTCATTCTGTCTTAAGACGACGTTAAACAATTTCAGTGAAGAATCGATCAGATTCGACTATGGAATCGGTAAAGGTTTTTCAGACTGATTACTTTTGACCCATCTCCAAGAATGACAAACGACATACTGCGAGTTTTTTAAAGTATTTAGGCTAACGAGTTTTTAGAAAAATTGGAAATCCGGTGCTTGCTTCTGATAGAAGTGGCGTTCTCCTGAAAGCAAATGAAGGGTTTTAGCCCTAATCTTAAAAAGAACATAGAAAGGAAATACTCCTATACTTGCACACACGGCACGAATCACGTACGATTACCATAAAATGACGTGTTAGCTTCCACAATTACTTTTAAACGGATACTTCAACCCAGTAAAACATTAAAAAGAAAGTTCCAATGAATTTTGTGGTGGAAATGTCGCACTTAAAACACGAAAACGCTCTTACTGCTCACCTTCCGCCGCCAATCGTGACTGCTTTCGGTCTCCACAGTGGTGAGTTCTTCAGAACAGTTGGTGCTGGAAAAGCACACCCGATGAAATGAGCCGCGCTTGATGGGAGGGACTATTCACTTGGGAAGGGCAACACTAACGTGGTTCTGTGTTGGCTCACGCAGTTGTAACTAGGCAAGTTTTTGCAGCAGGGGCACATTCGGTCACGATCTGTTTTCGGCATGAAAAGCGTCGTCATCACCACGGAGAACGCAGACAGCACGATCAGGGACAGGAACATCATGGCCTCACTTGCGCAGCACCTGCGCAAAACACACGAACGTATTCACTTGCAAACTGAGAAGTACTTGGCAAACAAACGTATGTAGTATTGTGCATGATTATACACTCATCTTTAGATCAGGTACCTCAGTTTATCCGTCTCTACTGTGCCGTGCCCTTCAAAACATGTTTCAGGTCTCTATAGTTCTCTGGACAATTACCCTACCCCTTTCTGTTTATTGCCCATTCTACTTGGAATTGGCTTGGGACCAACCCTTCAGTCTTTCTACTCACGACTGAGAGAACTGAAGAGCCGTAGTATCACCTAGGATAATTTTAGCTAAGCCAGAATACTACCGTCTATGGCATTCAAGGTATTTATTAAAAAAGATATTCCCTATCATCATCCCCTGCTATATTTAATTGTATGTTTAAAAAATAAATATAGGATACTGGGACACTTCGTCCCTCCCCTGCTAGGTATGCAATGTCGATGTTGGTGTTTTCAACATCAATAATTTGCAGTCGATATTTTGAGCGCGATTTTTTTACGTTTTGCCCGTGAATGAAAAATTCCATTAAAACAACTTTTAATGTTAAAATATGCAATAACCGAATATACACTGTCAGTTCATGTGTTTCAAGCGAACGCTATTTGCAGTACTTTCATGGAAAAGACTAGCTCTCGTCCGACAGATGTCCCCGATATCCTGGTATTTCCTACGCCCCTCGGATGTCGCTTTTAGGGCGGCAATCAAGGGCAATAGAACAGTAGGATTCCGATTTCCAGAAACCGTCGCCCTCGCAATCAACAATGGTCAACCGAAAGGTCTCAGTGCGCAAAATACAGCACAAACCAGTTGCACGATAGCTTTTAGTATCGGTTACGATCGTCTGTAACTTCCATTTATGCATCCCCTAACGAGCCCCATGTCTCATTCGCAATTAATGTTTTGAATCAAACACTAATTTTTATTCCTTCTGCGCGTTCTTGCGCAAAGCAACTCCTCTATTTCAGAGCAGCCGGTCAGCGGCAGAGAACGAGACAAGCGAGTGGTGAAGGATCATTCACTTGCGAACGACGCGTGGCTTCTCATTCGACTCCTAACAGTGTGGAACCGGCATGTGCGGCCGTAACCCATATGCTTCGACATAACACTGAGCGCTCAGGTTCAGATATGTAAATACTAATCTATGTGTATAAAACAAAGTCGTGTAAGTTACACTATTTATAATTCACGATCAGCTGGACCAATTTTAATTATCTCTGGTTTCTTGGATTCATACTCGTTTTAAATAGCAGAATAACAATTAAAATCTTTAAAAACTTCACAAGATGGCGTTGTAGAACAAAATAAAGATTCAGGTCAAATGCAATCCGCAATACATTCCGCAGGATTAAAAAAAAATCAGCTTTTGCCAACTGTCGGTGAAAAGACATCGGTATCCATTCCACTCCGCGAGCAGGTGATAAAAGAAGCAGCGCGAGCAAAGGGGGGAGGGAGAGAGGGGTAGACGGATGTCGCCGGTGAGTGAGATAGCTTTGGCAGTGCCAGTGGGCTTTGCCGGTGTTTCAGGCAACATGAGAGCCCATCTACGCCCGTTAATATTCTTGCGATTTGGGAAGAAATGTTACTTTTTGTTTAGATCGTAACAATAGTGAAGTGTTTAGTGTGTTTGAAAAAACTGAAGTGTGTTAAAAAGTTCAACCGACAAAGGCATTTTGCAGATTTGCAACCCACAGAAACCCTCAAGATGAAAATAATATCTGTGAATTTAGACAGTCTGCAATCATGAGATGAGAACAGGATTTTGCAGATATAATATTATGGAAAAGGAATTGAAAGTCACGAGGATTTAGAAGAATCCTAAACAAAACTTTACCTGAAATAATCAAGCCTGGAGTTCAAATTCTCCCACGCGACTCCTCCCGGGTATCTAGTTGTATCTGTTAACATTAATTGCACAGGCACACAAAATGGAAAACGTTGTCAGAGCCAAATACTTGACAGATGTTTCTCTGTGTATGTCGACGCGCTGAATCCGAAGCCAGAACTGCGCCACCACCCCTCCAGTTCTTGTTTGTTTGTTTTTTTTTCGAAAAGACACCATCAATATTAAAAATTGTACATTTTCCTGTTTTTTTTTGCAATGAAAAAACTGGAGGGTGGTGGTACAATTCTGGCTCCAGATTCGGATTCAGTGCATTGACATACATAGAGAATTATGTGTCAAGTCATTAGGCCTTACAAGTTTTTTTAAATTTGTGTGCCTATATAAAATATTGTATTAAAATATTAAAACCGTCTTCTCCAATAATGTATGTGTTAGACGAATGGAAGAGGAATTAGTGGCTGCGAAAAAGTCGAATATTGATTTGTATTAAGAAATAATCTTCGTTTTTTAAAATTTCCCACATTATTATTGAATCACACCATTTTAAAACGTAATTATCGAGCGGACCTCCCCCCCCCCCCACACACACACTTCCGTATCATCATCGGAACACTGTACGCCCGGCGCCGCGTCGGGCACTGCCTTCGCTCGGCTGCTCCGTTCGGAGCAGGAGAGCAGGGTTTGTGTAGTGAGCAGCATTGAGTGTAGAGATTAATAATAATAATAATAATAATAATAATAATAATAATAATAATAATAATAATTACGGTAGCTGTGGAATTAAATCGTCCCTTATGCAAACATTAATGTTAGTCTTTAACATTAATGTTTGAACAGTTGATTGAGACATTTTATACGAGAAGATTTTGAAAAATTATAATTGTCACCATAAACTCAATTCAACTATTATTAGTTATTTTGCATAACTATTACTTTGATCTCTGCACTGATATATACAATAGTTACATAGTAACAATATCCAATTGAGAGACATTTACTGAGCGGAATATATGTATATACCATAATCTTGGGGCTTTGGTACAGATTTTTAACATTTTTTACTAACTCCCTTAATATTTATTTTTTTACAGAAATAAATGCTTAGTCTGCTTTTGCATTAACGCACGCCCGAAGGCGAATAAGTGGTTTTACAGTACAGTGTGATTTTCTTGACTGATATCGTCACTCACTGAGGGATAAGATATTTTAAAAGTGAACAAAAAATGTGCATTATGTTTTCTTTGGCTGCCATGGTTTATTTCATTTTCAGTCGCCTGAAGTACTATAACTTTAAAAAAAATAGGATTTATCATCATTTTTTAAAAAATATGACTGAGTATCTTTGCCAAATGCTACCGATTCTTAAAGATGCTTCTGAATTTGGGGAGATAAACGAAATTCACAACATTTTGATCGGTGACCTACCAAAAAACTACAATGAAAGGCGGTAGAGACATTTAAAAGAAAGAAAATAACGATTTTATTTTTCATGAGTTGGTCAATAGATGAGCTTCAGGTCACTAGAATTTTATATTTTCGTACCTAATAAGAAGTCTGTAGTGTCCGATCAGCTATCGTTTTGGTTGTATTGTTGTGAGGTGCCGGAGACTTCGCAACATTCAAATAGGGAAAAGCAGTGTAATCACATACTACATGAACTGTAAAATCGGGTAAATTATCTAAAACAATAAACTATACCTAATTCCTAAGTATGACCCGTGTTTCCACTTACTTTGTCTGGATATATTTGTTCAGCATCCAACGGGAGAAATATTCACCGTCGCAGCGATGTAATTTGCACACACCGTAAGACGGCAGCGGCTATCCAAGTTCCAAGAAAGCTCGGTTCGTCATTCACAGAGTGCCAGCTGATGGCTTCTCACTCTACCACGGGGCGGTCCGCACAGCTGTAACCAGGTAGCCTTTTGCAGCAGGGGCAGATACGGTCACGGGTCTTCTTTGGCATGAACATCACCACCACCACAGACACAGACGTCAACGCCGCCAGGGTGAACAGGAACATCTGCCGCACGGGGACCTACGTGAAATGTCTCCCTCCACAGCAGCTGTTGTCAACCTTTCGACCTTCATGTCCTCGAATAATAATTTAACCTCCATAACTTAATATCCCGTTAATCATTATTAGGCTAAGCACTAATTGTAAAATTACGCCCAAAAGAGTGTCTGCCTCTTAAAACTCGGTAGAGGTTTGGGAATGTTTTAATCACTTATGTAGGACTCTTTGTATGAATTTGCATTGATTTTTGAGTAGAGCTTCAGTAGTTATGATGTCACAGACCGTATTCGTATTAGTTTCCTATTTCCTTTGGTCTCTGCTAGTTACTCGGAATTTCCATATACTCTACCTAGCTGCCATCTATCACCACCCAAAGTACATTTTTTGGGACATTTTCTTAATTTTTCGGTTTCCTAATTGTAGTACCGAAATATTATTGTATTATTATTAAAGAACAGTAAAACCTCGTCATAAATGGGAATTTTCTTTGAAAAATTTGGAGCCGTTTTTAAAAAACTGGTGTTTAAGCGCTACTGTAAATGCGAAATTTGAACATCTTTTCGCAGAAAACTATTGAGTTCCCAAAAAACTTTATATAAAGTCATTTCAAGCACATCTAATTACAAATGCAGTAATGTTTAGAAATCGCTGGAAATGTGCATAGTAAATCCATGAGAGATCTTTCAAAAAAAATTATATTAGTGTAATTTTTGAAAAAACAAAATAATACACTGAAATAAACTTTACGCCATATTAAAGAGTGCAATTAGCGCTATCCGTTCAAAACGTTTGAAAAAAATTGGAGCCGTTGTTGAGAACGTGGTGTTTGACCGTTTCTGAAAATGCAGAATTTTGAGCCAATTTTCACAGAAAACTTTTGAGTTTTCGACTTTATTTGTACTGATAAATATAATAATGTGAAGAAATCAAAGCCAGTGTAAATATTATCGACGTGAGGCAAGTAACAAAATATATTTTTGTAATTTTACAAAAAAAAAAAAAGAATACAGGAATATGACAACATTTATGTCATTTTAAAAAGTACATTTAGCTCTATCCATACCAAAAGTTTAAAGAAAAAATTTGGATTTTTGAAAAAATCTTTTTTTGAACGCAATATTGCGCAACAACTACTAACATTTAAAAAATGTACATGACCTTAAGGAAAAAGCGAATTATGGGAAACAAATTTTATTTGAAGTAAAAATCTCTATCTTTAATTTTGTAGTTGTAGAATGATCACGAAAAAAATTTCAAACTTTTGAAATTTTCGAAAATTCAGAGTTAACCGTGATTATGAAACATATGCCACCTTTATAAGTGTAGTTTACTCTTACTGTTTACTGTTACTGGCCAAGGTGTATTCTTGACTTGCGACAGTTGGTAAGTTCTGAAGCCATGATTGCCATGCTTCTAAACCCATGCTTCTGTTGCTTCTAAACCCATGCTTCTGCCATACTTCTGTTGCAACTTATTTGACCGGTTTGTGGTTCTACTAAAGCACTTACTTTCTCATTTTAATTGTAACTGTTACGTAATTCAAAACTACTTGAATACGCGGAAGTGATCGCAATCAATAAAAATGTTTGTCCACCCTGGGATTCGAACTCAAACGTACTTGGGTTTTGCACATAAACCACATAGTCCCAACCTTAATCGGCAAAAAAACTTCCCGAAACTTCAACAATAAAATTGAACTATTGCAATTTTCGAAAATTCAGAGGTTTCAATGAAAATCGGGCGAGTAAAAAACAATTTAAAAAACGCTGATTTAGGAAAATCATGTTTACGTTATACTTAACATGACCTATTTGACTAAAAATACGGAACTACTCCAATTTTTAAAAATAATTAAATATTATTTCAAAATTCAAGAAGATCAGATATCATTGAGGCAAAAGCTCTTTCTTCATTGTAGTTCAAAGAACAAGCCGACAAAACAAACTTCTACAATTTTCGAAACATTTTTGAGATTTGAACCAATATTAGACCCACACCATTGTTATAAGTGTACTTTGCTGCATTCCAGAAAAATTTAAACAAAAAAATGAGGAGCCATATTTGATAAAATTTGGAAAATGTCATTGTGGTTTTAGGAATAGTACCTCCAAAAATTAAAATATATTTTTAAAATTCATGGCACCGCTACAATAGTCAGAACAATTGAATATTAAATTGGTGAAAATTCTGTGTACGGTTTATCCGCTAGTTTTGTGCTCAAACAGATAAGACTGTTTAGGTATTAAGATTCTAGACAACGTGTATTCTGTCTACACGTCATAGACGTATTAGTGGATGTAATTTGCTAGATTTAGAAGCAAGAATGATCACCATTGTAACCAATTTTTCTTTCTTTCATAACTTTCTCTAGAATACTAAGTAGGCAAATATAGGAGAATGTAATATATCATGGAAAGAAAAGTGGTAGGGGTAAAAAATGATGAATCGTTTAATAAAAATATTGGAAAGCTCAGAGTAGAGTAGGAAGGGTGAAAATGTGTTTAATGTCTAAAATTTATTGGCAATCAAGTACTAATGATGAGAAAAAGAAAAAATGTGAGTTTTCTAATCATTTTCAGGAGTTGATTCAATGGAGGGATATAATTATTCCACTATTCCATTCATACATACAGTTTTCCAGAAAAATTAGATCTCACCTTTCTTCTTTCTACTTGTTGTCTCTCGGGATGCCAAAGTCATACGTTGCCAGCAAATACGTAGGGAAATGATGACAGATGAGGATATTCAAGAATGATATACTTTGCGTTGCCTAAATATTGCAAAGTGTTGGTAACCGTCTGAAGGCTGGGCAACAACGATCACGAGAGCTGACTGGCATGCATAGCACAGTCAGAAAACAAGCCGACATAAAATACGCCACGTATAGTAACACAGGATCCATCGACGTGTGAAAACCTGGAAAAAATATTGATGAGCAATTTATACATTTCATATTTTTTATAATAACCTTCTGGATAAAATGTCCTCTAGGAAATCAAAATCTCACAAAACATTAAAATTGATTTAATCAAAACGAAAAAGATGCATAAAAAGTGAATTGAAAATTATTACTAGTAATAATTTGCAATAATGAAAGACTAAAAGTCACATTTAGAAATATGGTTGCAAATTTTTCGAACTAAAAAATAAAAGGATTAGATTTCAAAGTTTTGAAGTCACGGAATATCCATTACACAGTACTTTTAGCAACACATAAATAATAGACGTGAATAAAGAAATGTTATGACAATGAGAATGACAACAGTATGGTTATTTAACAGTGTATTCATCACATTTTACGCATAGCCGTATGCTCTCGCGTGGTAAACAATCCTGATGACTTCGTGCCTTCACTCGCCTACTCAAGTTCATTTCAAGCAGATCAATGTTTCTAGAAAAGGTCTAAAAAGCAAGGAGACCTATGAATTGTATATGCAATATTAATATTAATAATAATACTAATAATACTAATAGTACTAATAATACTAATATTGCAAATCATACTAATGTTAATACTAATACTAATACTGACGAGACCCTGATTCAGAGTTCAGGAGAAACCGTGAATAGGCAACTCGATGTAATAAAAGAACTGTTGGAGACCATGCGAAGCGCTACGCAGAGGCAAGGGAACGTAAGCATCGAGATAAAGGAAAGCACGAGTCGCCTTGAGGAGAGTGTCCATATGATACGAGAGAGTAGGTGGCGCGACATAAAACGAAAATCAAGGCAAGGAAGACGAAAACGTCGAGATCAGACACATACGGAAGACGTGAGAACGCAACTTCTCGGTAGAACTGGGCAACCAGTCACAAGAGTGCAAATCATTCCACAAGACAGTGCAGGATGCACTAGGGGATGTGTCGTGTGCAATCTAACACCACGGGAATGCGAAGAGATAAGAGACTTACACGGTTTGACCACAGGAAAAGGTAAGGTTAGCAATCCAAAGATAAATGAATGCTGACCCGAACGACGTGAAGGTAGCTAGGCTGCAACCTAACAAGCGTGAGCAAAGGCTGGCCATTGAGGAGATGGAAGCAGCAGTTGCCATCCCCCTTCTGCACAAAGCGCATTAAAATAGGCCGGGTCAACTGTCAAGTACACAGACGAATCCCTGTCCCCCGTTGTTATAAGTGGTATAAAACAGGTCACACATGTACAGAATGCCAAAATAGCCCGTCGTGTGTACTATGCGCGAACCGAACCGATGCAAGATGAACAGATCACATACCTGGAACAGGTGACTGCATTGTATTCATAGATGCATTGGAACGGAGGAGAATACGAATAGCAAGTAATTAACCAGCTAATTAACGTGCTAAAGGAGTTGATTTGGGAGTCGTACAGAGATAAAAGCTACAGCATGGTTCTCTGATGCCTCAAGCACTGCGGTCATATGGATTCCCGCTACTAGTCGAAATCGTGTGGAGCGTCAAGGAGCAGGCTCACACTACGTATGGACGAGAATAGATAGAATAACATACGTGAGCTGCTACCTGTCCCAAAATCACACCATCGAGGAATTCCAACAGAAACTCGAAGACCACCTAACAAGCATTCAAAGTAAGGTCGTACTGGCCAGGGACTTTAACGCGAGGGCGCTAGAATGGAGCATGCCTCGAACAGACACAAGAGGAATGTTAATCTTGGAAATCGACGCACGACTGGGTTTGATAGTCATAAACAAGGGCTCCACTCCACCTATAAAAGACCTGGGTTTGGAAACTATTGGAAACATCACGCTCATGTCGGAGAGATTGGCGTCTAAGGAACGAGGCTGGCGAGTCATATAGGATTACAATGGTAGTGACCACCAATACTTATTATACCGGATACGTGACAAGGAAAGACGGGGGATATACGAAGCTCACCCAACCAAACGGTACAAACAATATAACATCGCAAAAATGTACAAAGGAAAACTTCAGAGTGGTCTGGAGTCTATCCCCAAACCGCCAGTAGGGACGCCGGACAGGGCGCAAATAGACACCCTCGGAGAGGCA